CCGCCGCGCCCCGAGCCAGCGGCACGCCTGCAGCGTCTGCTCGCGTGTCCACCGTGCTGCTGCTTGCGAGTCGGGCGTGTCCCCCTGCAGGAGGAAGATCTGGAAATAGTGAACACCTCGTCTGGGGACGATGTCTTGTGTGTTGTAGTGTGGCCTCTGGCCAGTGCCGCCGATCCGGGGCGCTCCAGATGATGATGATGATGATGATGATGATGATGATGATGATGATGATGATGATGATGATGATGATGATGATGATGATGACGATGATGATGATGAGGATGCTGATGCTGATGATGCTGATGATGCTGATGATGCTGATGCTGATGCTGATGATGATGATGATGATGATGATGATGATGATGATGATGATGATGATGATGATGATGATGATGATGATGATGATGATGATGATGCTGATGGTGATGTGACGATGGTGATGGTGATGGTGATGGTGATGGTGATGGTGATGATCCCGGCCCCCCCCACCCCCCCTCCTCTTCGATCCTGTCCCTCCTCTCTCTCCTGTCGCGCACCCACCCCTCTCTTCTTTTCCCCATCCCCCCTCTGCTTCCTGTCCTCCCCCCCCCTCTCTCCTGTTCCCCTTCCCCCTCTCCCCCCCCCTCTCTCCTACCCCCCCCCCTCTCCTCTCCCCCCCCCTCTCTCCTGTTCCCCCCCCCCCTCCCCTTGCAGAGCGCCCATATGCAAAGCGGACCCTCCCGCCTTTCCCTGCTGCAGCCCCCGCTCCCGCCTGAGAGGGTCCCCCCTCCCCTTTGCAGCCCCCCCCCCTTGCAGAGCGCCCCCCCCCTCTCCTGCCCTCACCCTTGCAAAGCAAAACTCCAGGGGAGGGGGGCCAAAATCGAGGGGGGAGGGGGGCTGGCAGGGGCGGGGGGAGGTGCCGAGCACTGAATTCGACAGTTCATGAGGTCCACCCCCCACTCCCTCCATCCCTCCCAAGCAGAGCTAAAGCTCATGCTGAAGCAGAGCTTCAGCTTAGACTTCTTTAACTCACACGCCGGATCGGCGAACTTGTTGGACGTCACTAGGGGAGAGAGGAGAGCAGTATTCATATTGTGCAATTGCGGAGGGAGGGAAGGGAAGGGAAGGGAAGGGAAGCGTAGGGAAGGGAAGGAATGAAGGAGGGAGGGAGGGAGGGAGGAGGAGGAGGAGGCGATGGGGTAGGGGACGTAACTCCCTCAACCGTGGCTGGTTGCCCCAGGGAGTACGCCGCGCCGCTGAGCGAGGTGATCATCCGCGCCGCCTGCATGGAGCGCGCCACCGAGGTCTGGGCCGGCAGGGGCGGGTTCCACGTGCAGCTTGGCACTCGAGGAAGAAAAACGAGGAGGAGGAGGAGGAGGAGGCGGAGGAGGAGGAGGAGGAGGAGGAGAGGAGGAGGAGGATCGGCCGGAGGAGTATGGAGGAGGGGCGGGAGGAGGAGGAGGAGGATGGGGAGAGGAGAGGAGAGTAGAGGGGAGGAGGGAGGGATGATTAGGAGGGAGGAGATGAGGAGGAGGATGAGGATGGTAGGAGGAGAGGAGGAGAGGAGGAAAGGAGAGGAGGAGAGGATAGGAGAGAGCAGGAGAGGTGGTAGGTAGGGGAGAGAGGGAAGGAGGGAGGAGGGAGGTAGGAGAGTAGGAGGGAGGAGGAAGCGGGCGGAGGCTGCGAGGGAGAGGAATGAGGCACGAGGAGGCGGCGGAGGATGAGGAGGGTAGGGGAGGAGGAGGAGGGCGAGAGGAGGAGGCGGAGAGGAGGGGGAGGAGGAGGAGGAGGAGGAGGAGGAGGAGGAGGAGGAGGAGGAGGAGGACCGGGACGTCGTCATCCGCGAGGTCACGAGCAGGCTCCCGCCCCTCGCGCCCCGCAGCCGCGTGGTACGGAGGGAACACCACGCACGGCGCGCACCTCTCTGGCGCTGTCACCGCGGTGACAGCATAGCGGGGGCTCGACCAGGGCTGCCCCCTCTCGCCGGCCTTTTTCGCCACGGCCACGGCGACCCTTTACGAGGACTTGGCGCACGCGCTGCGGCGGGACACGGGCGCCATCGTGGTGGCATACCTGGACGACGTCTACCTCGTGGGCACGCTGGAGGAACTCGCTGCGGCTGCAGCAGCCGCGCCAGGACTCTACGCGGCGCGCGGACTCCGCCTGAACGGGGACAAAACCAAGGTGTGGAACCCGCACAACCTGCA